GTGGTGCCTCGCTTAGCGATGTTAACCCGCTCCAGGAAAAACGTCGCTAAGGGATTTCTTCGCTAAGAGAAATTTTAAAAGCCCATAGAAATGCATTAACATGTTTAATGCATTCCTATGGGCTTAAAAACTGACCTTATGTGAAGATCCTCCATTGTGGTGGCCATTTTGAGTGCCTCTAAAGCGAGGCAAAACAGCAGGCAGCCATTTTGTTTACCCCGTGGCCATTTTGGAACCGCCAATCAGCTGGGCGAACACGGGGGCTTTGCAATGATCACTTCTGTGTGATCATCGCAAACCGATTTTTCCCCATAGGGGCCATCACAAAGCGGTCACTTTTGCGATCGCAAAAACAGCATTGCAAAGCGATTTCACCGTAAAACGGAGCAATTGCTATGTGAGGCACCACTGTACTGTAATTTGGGGTTCTGGGGACAAGAATAAGGCCTCCTGAGACTGAGAAAGTGAAATACCAGCAAAATCTCAAGTAAGAAGGAGTGTGTGTCTGGAAACTGCTCAAAGTCCCTCTTTAATTTTTTTCTCATATTCCAAGTACAGTGGTGCCTCGCTTAGTGATGTTAATCCATTCCGGAAAAAATGTTGCTAAGCGATTTCATCGCGAAGTGATATTTAAAAGCCCATAGAAACACATTAAAATGTGATTAATGTGTTCCTATGGGCTTAAAAACTCACCTTTAAGCGAAAATCCTCCATAGCTCCACCATTTTCGCTGCCTCTTCAGCGAGGAAAAACAGTGGGTGGCCATTTTGTTTACCCAGCAGCCATTTTGAAACCGCCAATCAGCTGTTTAAAAAGGGTCGCTTTGCCATGATCGCTTCCCCGCGATCATTGCAAAGCGAAAAACCCCATAGGGACCATCGCAAAGCGATCGCTTTTGCGATCGCAAAAACTCAGTCACTAAGCGATTTCATCGCTCAACGGAGCGATCGCTATGCGAGCCACCACTGTAAGTGGCCATTTCTCACTTTTTCTGCCTCTAACTCGCTTTGCCTCGTGTCCAATCAGACCTCTCAGTGATGGACATGTTTTAGATCATTCTCTTCAACCAATTTCTGCATCTCAGCTTTAGTACTAATCCTACTCCCTGTTGTCTAATTATCACTGAGGCGGGCGATTCACCCATTCACAGGTCCAAATCCTGTTGTATAGCCAGGCCTGCAGAACTTGGAGCTGTAGTGAGTTGAACAGAAATAAAAGTCATATCCAAGAGGCAGTGCCATGGGCACAGCAGCAAATTCAACTGGGTGTTTGGTGTGCAGTTTGGGGCCAGCTCATTGGGCAATCAAATTGTATAGTTCACCACAAGGTACTTCTGCAGTGAGACTCCTTGGGTGTAAACCCTGTCGTGAATTAAACTGAGCTGAACAGGAATTCCACCATTTTTTAATGAAGACAGTGACTCCAGATATACAAGCTTATTGTCCTAACATCTATTTTTAAATAACTAAGATAGATTTTCAGAAATATTTTCTCTTTCTTCCTTTTTCAAAAAAATAATTCTGTGCCAGAAGGTGTCACCTCTCAAACAGAAGATCACATATTTCCCATCTAGATTAAAAGTTTGGCTTCCCTTGAAAGAGGAAAGGGAAGGTCATATTAGCATAAATCAACTGAGATTCTATCTCATATTATTCTTTTGATTAAATTTTTTTCCTTCACCCAAAGCCATCCCATATTCCATATATTTAGAGATTGGCATCTTCCACTGAGGGAAAGAAAACAGTTGTGCTTCTGATGTTTCATAAAATTATCACTATTACCATAGATGTACTTCCTCCTGTTCTGATGAGTGTTATGCTGTTATGTTGCCAGACTGCACTGCTGTATATAGCCTATAAATACACACTGGTGTTGGTGAAGCTGCCTGCGTGTGTGTGATTCTTTTGGACTGCCTGGACTGGACTTTATTCTGCTAACTCTGCTGAATTTTCTGCATTCTTGCATTAACAAATTCACTAATGGCTATCTTTGTGAATGAAGATTCCCTTCATTTAAATGCCAGTTCTTTGATGTGAAGTAACACTGCTCCTGTCACCGAAGCTCTTCCAGATTCCAAGTCACTTATGTTTTTTGCCTGGATCTCCTCTCTCAAATGAAGTAAGATGATTTCCTGTTTCAATTTTTAAATATAAACTTAGGTGACAGTTCTGAGTGAAGCTTGACTGTATTCTATGCATTTACAAGGTTTCTATACAAGATGTGAGTTCTTTGATGTTTACTGAGATTACTGCTGTCACTGAAGCTCTTTCCACATTCCATGCATATATATGGTTTCTCCCCTGTGTGAATTCTTTGATGTAAACGAAGGCTACTGTTGCTACTGAAGCTCTTCCCACATTCCATGCATTTATATGGTTTCTCCCCTGTGTGAGTTCTTTGATGTAAACGAAGGGTACTGCTTCGACTGAAGCTCTTTCCACATTCAATGCATTTATGTGGTTTCTCCCCTGTGTGAATTCTTTGATGGGAACTAAGACTACTGTTGTTAATGAAACTCTTCCCACATCCCATGCATTTATATGGTTTCTCTCCTGTGTGAGTTTTTTGATGTGAACTAAGGGTACTGCTCTGACTGAAGGTGTTTCCACATTCCATGCATTTATATGGTTTCTCCCCTGTATGAGTTCTTTGATGGGAACTAAGGTTGCTGCCCTGTCTGAAGCTCCTTCCACATTCCATGCATTTATATGGTTTCTCCCCTGAGTGAATTGTTTGATGTGTTCTGAGTCCACTGCTATTACCAAAGCTCTTTCCACATTCCATGCATTTATACGGTTTCAGTCCTGTGTGAGTTTGTTGATGTAAACAAAGGGTACTGTTTTCACTGAAGTTCTTTCCACATTCAATGCATTTATATGGTTTCTCCCCTGTATGAATTATTTGATGTAAATGAAAGGTACTTTTTTGCTTGAAGGTCTTTCCACATTCCATGCATTGATATGGTTTCTCATCTGTGTGAATTCTTTGATGTCTTCTGAGTCTATTGCTATTACCAAAGCTCTTCCCACATTCGATGCATTTATATGGTTTCTCCCCTGTATGAATTATTTGATGTAAATGAAAGGTACTTTTTTGCTTGAAGGTCTTTCCACATTCCATGCATTTATATGGTTTCTCATCTGTGTGAATTCTTTGATGTGTTCTGAGTCTACTGCTATTACCAAAGCTCTTTCCACATTCGATGCATTTATATGGTTTCTCCCCTGTGTGAATTCTTTGATGTAAATGAAGGGTACTGCTGATACTGAAACTCTTCCCACATTCCATGCATTTATATGGTTTCTCCCCTGTGTGAGTTCTTAGATGGGATCTAAGGCTGCCACTGTAACTGAATCTCCTTCCACAATCCATACATTTATATGGTTTCTCCCCTGTGTGAGTTCTTTGATGTGAACTGAGAGCACTGCTCTGACTGAAGGTGTTTCCACATTCCATGCATTTATATGGTTTCTCCCCTGTGTGAATTCTTAGATGTAAAATAAGGTTACGGTTGCACTTGAAGGTCTTTCTGCATTCCATGCATTGATATAGTTTCTCCCCTGTGTGAGTTCTTTGATGACAACTAAAGCTGCTGCTGTAACTGAAGCTCTTTCCACAATCCATGCATTTATATGGTTTCTCCCTTGTGTGAGTTCGTTGATGGGAACTAAGGTTGCCACTGTAACTGAATCTCCTTCCACAATCCATGCATTGATATGGTTTCTCCCCTGTGTGAGTTCTTAGATGTCTTCTGAGCTGACTGCTATCACCAAAGCTCTTTCCACATTCTATGCATTTATGTGGCTTCTCTCCTGTGTGAGTTCTTCGATGGGAACTGAGAGAACTGCTCTGACTGAAGCTGTTTCCAGATTCCAGACATTTATATTGTTTTTTCCATCTCACATCTTTTTCAGGTGAAATATATTCATTGTTCATAGTGACACTTTTTTCCATGTTCCATGCAATGATTTGGTTTTTCCTATGGGTGGACTCTGTCTTGTCTCTTTAAATATGAAGTACACTTGAATGTTTTTCTGTTCATGGGTCACTTTCTCCTGCTTTTTTCTTCAGTTTTTTTTTCCAGGAAGACAGGAGCTCGTTAACATCAGACTCTGATTCGTCCCCCCCTTTTTGTCTTCCCTTTTGCTGTATTTCTCTGTTTGGGTGTCTAATTTTTTTCCTTTTAAAGTTTCACTAGAGTGCTGGGACCTGAGTGGTATACGTCTCCGGCTGTGAAATCAGAAGTTGGGTTTGATTCTCCAATGTGCCTCTTTGAGAGGAACTAGACTCATTTTACAAAGGGGTCCGATGCCAGCTCTGCCGTTCAAATGTTATTGCTATTATTATTATTATTATTCACACTTGGTTCCTTTCAGTGACAGAAGAGAGGGCTCCTTTGAACACTGCTTGTTCTGTTTCTTACCTGTTGGATTAAAAAGAGAAGGAAGGAAGGAGCACAGAACCTCACAAGGAATCAAACCAAAGTATTATCTCTGTTCAATTTCATTCCATTGTTTTCACTCCAGTGCTCAAACTTATCAAGATCTTTATGAATTTTGTTCCTCTCTTCCAAGGTGTTAACTATTCTGTTATATAGCATCCACCACTCACAATCCCAGAACAGATTCGTACAGTGGTGCCTCGCATTACGAGTGTCCGTTTTACAATGAAAGTGCTTTACATTGAAGGTTTTGCGATCGCTAACAATGTTTCCTATGGGGGAATTTCGCTTTGTGATGATTGGTTCCCTGCTTCGGGAACCGATTCTCGCAAAGCGATGATTTTCAGCCAGCACAGTTTGCTGTCCTCTGAAGATGCCGGCCACAGAGACTGGCGAAACGTTAGGAAGAACCACTTTCAGAACACGGCCAAGAAGCCCGAAAAACCCACAACAACCATTTCAGCCAGCTGATCGGCGGTTTCAAAATGGCCACCGGCTAAAAAATATGGTTTCCCGCTCTTTTCTGGGACAGATTCCTGTCTGCACGGGCAGGGAAAATGGCTGCTCTATTGAGGATCTTCACTGGACGGTGAGTTTCAAGCCCCTAGGAACGCATTAATCGGGTTTTAATGCATTTCTGTGGGCTTTTTAATTTCGCATTACGACATTTTCGTTCTACAGCGATTTCGCTGGAACGAATTAACGTCGTAATGCGAGGCACCACTGTATTATCCACACCCCAAATCTACAGTTGTGTTCAAAATTATTCAACCCCCAATGCTGTAAAGGGGTTTAGGGACTATAGTGTACATTTGGAATTGTATTCAGAATGAAATCCTACAAGG